AACTGATACTCTCTCGTAAAACACGTAAAACTCAACAATATATTTTTTTCATTCAAAATCAACTTCCCGAATAACAATGAAGAAGGAGTCTTTAAATAAGACTCCTAAAGCTCTAAACCTAACTTATTCATTAAGCTACTAAATAATAATAATAATAATAATAATAATAATAATAATAATAATAATAATAATAATAATAATAATAATAATAATAATTATTATTATTATCAAAGTATCTGCATCAATTTATAAGCTTCTTGTAGTCGTACATGGTCGTAGGCTCGGCCCACCAGTCCAAATTGGTCCTGAACCAGCCCATGGTTTGAACCGAACTCGTGATTTGATCAAGCTGGTTTTGGGCCACATATTTGTAGTTTTGGTCCACCGAATCGGAGTCGGTTCAAAAAATTATTATTTTGAACCTTCGGTTCACTGAACCGGCTTGTGCATATGCCCGGTCCGGTTTAAGGCTCTCCAACCGTCGACCTGGAACCGGCAATTGCGACTTGAAACCGAAAAATGGCCACCTCAGTCAGGGGCGAATCTAGCAATCTATATGAGCAGGGGCCTAAATTTTTAAAGTAGCATAACATTATCTTTTATAATAAAAAAATCAAAGACAAAAAGAAATAAAACATAACATTTTGAGTAAAAAATAAAAAACAAAAACATAAAATTTTCAAGACAGTAATAATTTCACATTTTCTTGATATGACCATTTTAAAGGTTTTATTCATCTGCTCTATGAAATTAAAAAAAAAAAAATGTTATACATTCAAATCAAACATCTCTTACTATTTTAGCACCGGCACATTAATCAATTATTATGAGAATTAGATAATAAAATATATCTATTTCGAGTTTCGGTTACATATAAAAATAATATCTTTTTCCGAAAACGATAGAGATATTATATAAATGTGCATAAATATGCAAAGAAACAACCACCAGCTAAGTACAAACAACCAACAACTAAATACAAACAGCCAACAACTGAATAAAATGGGAGGACAAGTCAACGGACCACCTAGAGTCGACCCCAACAGGGTAATACTCGGGAACACAACAAAACACAAGGACACTAAAATCTCCCAAGAGGAGAATGAGAAAGAAAGAAAACGACCACAACAAGGTAATGCCCGATGGTACGATCCTAACAAGATGATAAGGCCACACTCGGGCTAAACACAAAGACAAACACAAGACGAGCACAAATACCTACAACACATAACAATAACAACAAAACTAAAATAAACACAGAAAGCTCTTCCCACAGCAATAACACTAGTCCCAACATGAGGCACCAGCAGAATCACGGACAAACACCCACAAAGATGAACCACAACCTAGAAATCAGCTCCTGAAATCGCCGAAACTCGTAGCTGAGCCAATATCCGAGGCCCAGGACAACTCCAAGAAGTGAAAGTCGACCACAGGCAGAGGAACGTCCACCAACCCCCCAACACTCCAGCTTCCCAAGACCCGACCAACACCACTGGCCTATATCCGACAAGCCATACACCCCTCGTCACAACACCAGCGGCGAGGAACACAGGGGGCTCAAATCGACCCGCCTCAGCCCCGGCCCATTCAACTTAGACAAGTCGAGCATCCAGGGCCACCCCCAAAGCTCCGACCAAACACCACACCCCCACATCCCCGCAAGACGAGCCCACCACCGAAAACGCCAAAATCGAGCTCGCCACCAGCGACCCAACACAGAGCGAAACCAAAAGTCGGGCCATCCACCGACGACGCGACCATGAAGCCAAACCGCTGAGATAACCACCGGTGATTGAAGGCCAACGGCACGATTAAGACCTCAGACCCTCCGTCGACGCAGTGGAGCAGGAATGGAGATGAAGGCAATTGGGGGTTGAGGGTACAACTGCGAGCCATCCGCAGGCAAAGGGACCGGCGAATCGCCGGAGAAGGCACACAGCTGGCTTGATTTGACGACGGAGGAAGAGGTTAGGGTTCGGGGAGTTTTGGCGATGGAGGAAGATTATATCTATTAAAACAATATTAAATAAAATATTCAAACCATAGTTAATTTAATGGTTGACCTAATAGAGAGAAAAACAATCAAATGGACCAATTATCATATATCATCACAAACAAATTAATTGTATAGCATATAATATCAGGAAAATTAGAATTAGCAGGTAAATTACCAACCAGTGAAATATAACATAAGAGTTATATTAAATGAGTTTTCAAGAACTGCCTATGTACTCTGATCTTGATTTTTATTTAATATAAATAGGCCAGTTTACATACCTGCTTAACTATGTGTAGACAGTAGACAGTAGACACTCCCAACTTCATAAGAAGTTCTTGTAAATTATCTCTAAAATGGGACTAAAAGGCATAGAGAAACAGATAAGAGTTGAAGTTCATGTCAACTCAACTGAAGCAAACACAACTATATATCCTCAAAATCAGAAACTGAACATTATTCCAACATTAGCCGACAACAAAGTAAAAGTTTCCGAAAAGCCGATCTAACCTAGCCCTGGTTCCGGGTAACTACAATGATTAAAAGGATGACCACAGAGAGTAGCAACGACGACCGAACTTTCTCTTCCACAAGATCGGTTAGTTCGGAAGTAGGTTTCTCCTTTGGGGCCGGTCGGAATATATCGCTCACGAGCAATCCGAATTTCTCGACAAGCTCCAAAACCCTCGATTTTGTGAAGCCCATGATCCATTTCAAGACGAGCATTGCAATGTCCTGTTCCTCAACAATGCAGCTCGGTCGCTTCTCCCCGTTACCTTCACGGTTCAAAACGAAAGTCATCTAAAATATTCAGGCCAATCATCAACCTTTTTTTTTCCTAAAACATAGGAAGAACAGAAGTACAATATAATGAACCTGCTATTGGGATAGAGCCTTTGAGATCCTGAACTGCTTTATTGCCCAAGATGGCTTCCCAAACACCTTTATCACATGAAATTGATACCACCATGGACTGGAACAAGTCAAATTAGCCAAGAAAAAAAAAAGTAAAATTAAATTAAATTGAGGCTTAGTGTAGTATTTTAAAATTTTTAGAATTTATTTATATATTATTTTTGCAATAATAACCCTTCAAAAGAATGGGAGAATATTTTGTTTCATTATGCACCTGAAAAGATGGTTCTTTTTGCATCATAGAGTAAACATCATGAAATTTAGCAAATCCAGGAGATTGCAGCATATGGGGCTCATAGCCATTGGTTGGGCTGAGGCTGTGAAGCCCATTGGGCTCAGGTCCAGAGGTTTGAAGGCCTTGCATGAGCCTGAGCATAAAATCACAGATTCATAGTATACATTCAAAACATAGTTCCTAAGTGATGAGAAAACCAAGAAAATCACAAAGTTTTTGGTTCAATTTTACTTACTAGACATATAAATGACATAAGTCAACCACTCCAATACAAAGAGACCACGGTTTTAAGTGTGCCTAAAAGAGATTCGAGGTAGATTACTCTTATTTTCTTATTGTAACATTCGTTGTTAGATACTATTTTTTTCTTACACCGAGTCTAAGAGTATCTTTTTCCACAGCCACATTGGACTTTATACCTTTCGTATTAAAAATCATCTCCAATACAAACGAAATAAGAATTGATTTAGATGATGTGATGTGAAAAAATGAATCGGATCTCTACTTTGACCCATTTTGAGACACATTTCCCCACAAAACTTATCATTTTAACAAAATCATTAATATATATTGGGTTGAATTATTTTAGACTCGATTCAAAGTGGTCTATTTTACTTTGAATTTCGAAGATCGATTCAAGACTTAATTCTATTACTATGACAACTAAGTAAAATTAGACTCGAACAACTGTGGATGCTCTACAGAAATCTATCGACATTTACAATTTTTCAATATCTTGCCGTCTAAAATTAACATTTGATTTGTAAATCGACTCCAAAATCAGACCTTATTCACCACCTAAAAATAATTATCACCAAAATACAATCAAATGAAGCAAAACACATAAAAAAAAAAAAAAAAAAAATTGAATCTTTTGACCTATGGAGATCAATAATGGCCCGATCAACTTCAGCCCGAGTTGGGGCCGACCCAAAACTGCCATCGCCGTTATCATGGGAGATTTGTGGGGTTCCGCCACCGTCAGCCGCCGGCGGTGAGACTCCGGTGTGAAAGTTTCTGACGGCGCCGATGAACGGCGGCCTTGTGGCGGAGGAGATGGGTTTGCCGGTGAACATGAAGCCTCCACCCATTTTACGTGTGTTTAGTGGGAAATAGGAGATTCACAGTGATCAATGATATGATTTTACTATGTGTCTTTCTTTTTGGTCAAGCAACGCAATTTTCTATATTTTCTCTTTTTAATTTACTACTATACAAGAGATTAATATGTAATTTTTTATATATTAGTACTATTTTTCAAAATCAAAATGCAAATAAGTCGAAATAATTGAAATACATATGAAATTTATTATATTAGAAAGAAGTCACGGGCTACGGATCAGAGTAGAAACACTGCTGCTAGTAAATGTATTTATATAATTTAAAATCACACTTCTTTTTTTAATGAAAGTCAATGTTTTTAAACCCGATCCGTGGATCGACCCGGGCTACCCTTTGGGTCATCAGATCACCGGTTCAACTGCTTTGTAACGTTTCAATTGTAGGACCGAGTAATTAATTATAAGAAAATTAAAATTATATATATGTTATTTTTATAATATTAATATACATAAAAGTAACAAAAATAAATAAATTTATATGTATATTTTATACATTAAAGTGTTCATAATATTGTATCTCATAATAAAAATTTACTACATAAATATATATATATATATATATATATATGATTTTTAAATAAAAAAATATAAAAAAAAAATTATAGTTGCTAAGTCAAACCCAGTTTAACTCGGTTGGGTCGATGTACGGGTCGACCGGGTCATGGGCGGTTTTGACTGGACCCATTGTTAACCGGTTTGAAGCAGACACACCCGGCTTCGGGTCGACCCGCCGGTCCAATCTAGGTCAAGAAGCCGTAAAGAAAATGCATTTCTGGCGCTGAGTTGGAGCAAAATTTTACACAAGCGCATCACTACTTAAAGGTTGCGCAGCACTATTCACAAATACAGATCAACGTTGCTTAGCACTATTCACAAATGCAGAGTAGAGATCCGACGCATTTTGCACAATCTCCGTGCATAGCCAGATACACTTTGCGTAGCACTATTTACAAATACAGACCGTCGCACTATTTACAAATGCAGCGTAGAGATCAGGCGTTGTGTTGGAGCGAGAGTTTGCACAATCTCCAACGATAAACCGTACTACAACGCAGCAGCATTGGAGAAGCTCTTACAAACAACAAACGTTGTGCATTTATTCTAGCTTCATTTATTTAGCTTTTCCTAGCAAATACTTAAAATTTGCTTCTCAAATGCCATTCACTTTTGTTCAATGCATCACCAATGGTAAAAACCTTAAAAGCATGGTTTTTCATTTTTATAGCTGAAATTCAAGAAGTACAACCTCTCAAAACAAATCAAAAGTATGGAGAGGTAATAAGCCGGAGTTTTATTTATTTTTTAGGTGAATTTCCACTTTGCATGGCTCGGCGAAAATCTAATGTTCAAAGACAAAGTCAACACACAATGGAAATATATGCATTTACTTGTTGAGGTCGCTTCACCTTCATCGGCTCAGCTGATAGCTCGAATCTTACCTTTGTTTGAACGATTTTCTTATCAGTACCTTTGTTTGAACAAGAATCTTTCTTTGTCAAACGATTTTCTTTACTTCTTCCTCATCAGTACCTTTGTTTGAACAAGAAGCTTTCTTTTGAAGGACTCAAGAATATATTTTGAATGTTAACGAACATTGCACCTCAGTTTCGAAAATTCGTACATGAAACTTGAGCAACATTTTACCACAGCAAATGTTGAAAGACACAAAGTATATTGCCTCTCATAATTCTTACACTTTTATCCATGGAAATGTCTCCAAAACAAAAGGTAGGAGAAACCTTTCTTGGTTTAACTTTGAGAACCAGAAAATGTGGAGTGGATTAACTAATCGTGACGAGGCCTAGGACGTACTCCTAGTCCAGTCCTTATATTTGCCCCTAAAGTCTTCATATCTTCCACCTACAAAATTCACAAAC